GACATGAGGCAGTCAAGATAAGAATTTTCTCACTGCATTTCAAAATGGATTTATGGTGCAAATAGTTGTTTTTATTATAATAAAAATAATAAAGAAAGGTTTTTTTCCTTGTGTTATAATTAAATATTGCTTTACTGTAGGGTCATTGGGACTGGGTGACAGATGTTGCGATTAGCAAAAACAAGAAATGGATTCTTTCAGCCTCAAAGGTAATTGCTAATTCCTGGTGTGGTTTCAGGAGCTAACTTATTAATGGATGTGAAGATTTCACTCCTTTTTTTCAGCTTTATTTTGAATGAAATTTAACAATGATACAAGTTGCTCATAAAAGTGCTAAGTTGTAATCAGTATTTACCTCAAGTAATTACAGAAAATCTTTAAAATAATTTGATAAGTATGTTTATTTTTGGTTATTTTAAAATGTGTGGGCAGTTTAATATTGCTAAAGATTGTTTCCAAAGACGTGATATTTAAATGTGAAATAGTTTAGCTTTCATATTGAGAGGGCTTATCTGATGAGATGAGATCTCATCCCTATGGAATGATGTAAATCACTTTTTTGGTAATATACAAATACATCAAAATAATTGCATCTTTTTCTCAGGATTCTACTTTGAGATTGTGGAATATTGAAAAGATGGATCATATTCCTTCAGTGACAGAAACTGGAAAAGCAAGAGGCTCAAATATTGCTCAGGTTCTATCACTTTGGTTTTTAACCACGCTTCATACTTTATTCAGAAAGAAAATTTGAATGCTAAAGGAAAGCTGTCAGATTTCTAGGCTGAAAACACAAATTGATTGTGTTTGTTCTCCCCTTGCAAAAATTGTCCAATATTTTTTAGGAGTAGGATGTAGTAATAGCAGTACTTTTAAAAAATTGATTTTGGTAAGTACACTGAATTTCATATACAGATGCATTTTGGTTTTAGAAAACACAGCCACGTATATGTACTTTCAAAAAGAAACATATTTTGGTTTTCTACACTGGATGCTTCTGCAAAGTAATGGGCTGCTTATGTAGGAGTATTACTAAACCAAGGCAGGTAATATGCTCCTGGACAGCTTATACAAATTCTGAGGAGTGTCTTTTTAAAGTTGAGACTGTATGTATTCTGACTTCTAAAACATAAATTATAAATAGGTGTTGGGCAAGAAGAACATTAACAAGCTTAATGCTATTGAAATATCCTTTTTATTACAGTCCCTCAATTGGTTTTGGTAGTGGATTTGCAAGATCTTGTGTGTATTTTCCTCCTTGTCAATAACAATTAAGAGAAATGGCATGAAAAAGAACTTTTTTTTCTAATTTCTGTAATATTTTAATCAGAATTTCTTGTTGAATAGCAGGTATTCAAAAGCAGTGAGCAGCTTTTTAAGCTTTTAAAGAAGTTTTATAAATGTGCCAGCAGTGAAGATGTGTACATTCCTAAAAGTATCAATTAACAAAAATTTGAGAATATGGTTAAAATTGGTACAGGAAAGGATTTGTGGGTGCATTTCAGCAATACTTAAAGCATACCAAACAATTAGAAAAATGTCTGAATTTCTTTGTAAATAGTTTCATGAATAATGAATTGGAAATCAATGTCATGTTGACTCTGATGGAAGTGGATTAAACTTTGAATGTGTGTGTAGTCAGCAGAAAAACTTCTTTGTACTGACTACAGTGGGTTAATGTTTTTAATCTAAAGTAATTCTTACGTATAAAATTTCATTTATTTTTTAATTTTTCAATTTTTCGTTCTGAATATCTCCTTTAGTCAGATAATGGTCAGGTAAAAAACCAACCAACCAAACAAAAACAAAAAACCAACAGAAAAAGCCCCAAACCCCCTAGTGATAATCACCAAGACAGAACAGCTGAGACCTGGATATCCATCAAGCCATCCAAGAAGTGTGATACTGTATTAGTTGAAATAAATAAAATTGGAGTTCACAGAAAATACAGTATTATTCAGGAAAAAAACTTCCAAACTATTCATCACAGGAATTAATACTGAGCAGCACTATCTGTGTCAAGTTTCCGACAGCTGTACGCACTCAATGCATCTCAAAAACCAGGCCTAGATGTATGTGCGTGTAGAGCTGTACCTTCGTGAGTAATGCACATGTCACAGATGATTAACTGAAATGCCATTTTTTTTTGTTATATTTACACCAGTGTGAAGAATGTGAAAAACCTTTCTTCTGCCTGCAACGTAGTGGCTCTGAAACGATAACCAAGTGTGTGTTCTGTCGTCTGTCTTCTCCAGTGAGAATTCTGCCGTTGCCACCTTCTGTTCCTCCCAATCTTTAAATTAATGTAGCAGTCTTGGGTTGTTACCACATTTGAGTATAAATGGAGTGTCTGTACATCTTTATGTAATACACATATAAAGCTAAGATGTTCCTCTAACCTTGTTCTACTGTAGTATCCTGTATGAAGAGTAATAAAATACACTGTAGTAATCCATTAAATAGCTGTGACATATCAGGTAAAGAATAAAATCTGCAGGAGTAGAAATCTTATTTATGCTGCATGGTACTAGAGAATAAATTAACTGTAGTTTGGGAAATTTTAAACAGTTTGAAATGAATACACTAGTTTCAAGTTCAATTTACTAAAGGAAATATGTGGATATGTACATTATTGACAGGTTTCCTTCCAGTCTTTAGATAAACCGTTCCTCTTTACTATGGCAAACAAAGCGTCTTTGCTGTCAGTGGACATCAGAAAGTTTTGTGAGTAAAACTGAACTTTTTTCTAACTGGTTGCCATACCCCTTACAAAAATTTTGTAAAGGAGCTTTCAGGCACTGAGAGTAAATTGTGGTTAATGCCGGACATGGTGCAGCACAGATTAGGTCTGTGTAATAAAGGCTCCCTCCAACAAGCAGTGTGGTATTTTTCCTACCCTTTCTTAGGAGCAACCCTGAGAGGATTATATCTATTCAGTACATGGGAGAATGTCAATTAATAAAAGATTAAGTGTTTCAAAATATTTGGAAGCCTTATGCCTAAAAATAGTGTTTCACCCTTTTCAGCATTGCTTTCTAAAAGGAACTTAAAGTGGGGAAAATAGTTGGAACTGGGCATGTGACAGCCTGGAATGCAGTTAAGCTGTAGAATACAAAGAAATCTAAGTAGGTAGATTTTTTTTTTTCCCCTTGTTTAAATTGTGTGAATTGTGTAGCAACAATTACACTTGAATCCAAGGTTAAATGAAAAATATTTATAGAGAATAGTATGTTCTGTACAGATCTATGGCTTTGAATAAGTATTAGATGATAAACTGTAGTATTTTCCAGCATTCTTTTCCCCTCTTTACTCCTTAATTAAATATTATTTTTTTGTTACAGAGGCTTAAAGAAAATGTTGTGTCTATGCTCCTGATTTGTTTTTGTGGTTTGTTTGGTTTTTTTAAAAAACATCACTTAAAATATGTGTGTTTCATATCTTAATTAATTTGGCTTTAATGTAGGTAGTAATACTGAACTAATTCCAGCATGTTAGAAAATATCAGTCCTAGAATAATTAATGTTGTTCTATTAGAACTGAAAGTGTTCTTTGGTTCTTTCTTTACCCTTTTCAGCGGGAAAAATCAAAGCTCCACTTTTTTTTCCAATGAAACAGGAAAAAAAGCAGTTGCTCTATAGAGGCTTGGTTTATTTTTCATTCATGATGTGAATGGGTTGGAAATTTTCTTTTGAATGAATCCTCTTTCTATTTCCCAAACTGAGAAAAACAAGGAAAAATGAATTCTTAGATTCTGGTTTTAATAAAATCCGTAAGTTTTATTACTTGCTGCTGTTTTCTTTCCATTACCATCACCTGTTTAGCACTTGGGTGCCTCAGGAATCAGCCTGTCTTCAGCGCTGAGCTGATCTCACCTGCAGCAGTAGGCTCAGATTTGTATGCAGCGTGGATTTTGCACACAATGTGTTAATTACGGGCAATCCACAAGCTGCAGACTTAGCGGCATTTTTTCTAGCTCTTGTACCCCTGCAGTTTAACTAATTTAGTTTCTAGTTTGACTCTGTTGCCGTTCTTACCCGATGAGAAAGTGGTAAGACTGTTCTAGACCACATCAGCGTGACCGCCCTTCCCTTGCAGTTATTTGGAGAGTAACTTCTATATTTTGGCTGTAAATGTGCCTTAGGTGCCTGTTGAATTGCCAAAGCAATCGCTACGCTTTGCAGAGTCTGATGCCACTCCAGGCCTGTGGGAGATGATCCGTCCCGATACCCCCGGGTTGTGGCCCAGGCTCCGCGGTCGTTGGTGGCTGGTTCCTGCCCGGTAACGCCATCCGTGCCTTCGTGTGGCACGAAGGGCTGGTGCTCAGGGAAGGGTTTTACTGGAGGCACCATCAATTCTGTGTGAACAATTCCAAGGAGCTCCATAGGCAGCTCCCCAAATCACTTTTCCTGATTATTCAGCTGGTACAAACACGTGCGTTTGGCCGGGCGCTCCAGCGTCCTGTGTGCACAGTGCACACAGTGCACAAGCAGCGTGTGCGTGTCCCTATCGTGGTTTAATTTTTTAGGGTTTAATTTTTTGGGAATGATGGCAGCGCCCAGCCCAGGCCTGGTCCGCCCTTGCTGCCTTCTGCTGTCAGCCTCGGGCAATGGCGGGGCTGC